TCCCTCAAAAAATGTCTATTATTTCGGATCTGAAACTTCTACCATGTTCTTCAATGAGTTCGATGCATTGCTCGCGCCCATGAGCTGAAAATGACGTAAAATTTGAGACGTTTTGAGGAAATTTTAATTTTTTCAAAAAATCGAAAAATTTAGAGCAAAAATTAAAATTTCACTTCTGTGTTTTTTGAGCTCAATCGATTCCTTTCGACAGAAATCTGCATTTATAAAGTGTTTGGGTCAATAATAAGGAATAAATCGTGGGCTAAAGATCGTGGCCCTCAAAAAACGTTAAAAATCTGCCGAAAATGTCTATTATTTCAGATCTGAAATTTCTACCATGCTTTTTAATGAGTTCGGTGTATTCCTCCCGTCCGTGAGCAAATTATGTAAAATTTAAGACTTTTTGAAAAAATTTTCATTTTTTTTTAAATCGAACCCCCCCCTTGGAAAAATGTAGGCCAAAAATCTAAATTTCAGTCACACCCAGTCGTCAATAATTCATTTTGTCCACAAAAAATACTTTCCTCATAAAATCAGTCCTTTTCCACTTTCGAAGAAATCAACAACCTTCGTAGCCTAGAAACCGACCCTGGTGACGTGCTTTTCCGGAAACACGTAGGTAAACCTGATCGACCAATCGCTTGTCGACTGCACCATGGCAACGAGTGAATACAAACAGATCAACTTTGAAATCAGTTGTCAGTAAAGCCGTATTTATTGCAATTGAAGTTTTAAATCAGCCGGTTTTTACACGTTCGCTTTGGAAAAAGTGTCTTGTTTGTTGGAATTGCCTCTCGAAGGATTGAAGGACCCGAAAATGTGAATTTAAACCAGAAAAATTACGAATGTAAAGAAAATGTTGACGATTTTTGCGACTTAAATCGTTGGCAGGATATTAAGAGTGGGAAGTTTTCAAATTGAGACCCGCTGTATTGGAAAACAAGAACATTCTACACGGTGACCAAGGTAAGAGTGGCCCATCTGAACCTTCTAGCACGTTTTTTAATCAGTTCGATGCATTCTTCGCTTCCGATGCTGAAAATATCGTAAAATTGAACATTTTGAAATTTTTTTACGCCCACCCTTGTGTGTTTTTTGAGCTTCCTTCCCTTCATTCCTTTCAACGTAAGAAGTTCAGAAATATGCATTTATAAAGTGTTTGGATCAGAAATCTGCCGAAAATGTCTATAAATTCGGATCTGAAACTTCTAGCATGTTTTCCGATGAGTTCGATGCAATCCTCGCGTCCGTGTGCTGATAATTGCTCTTAGATCAACAGCAGTTCACCCAACCAATGTTGAATCACCCCATACTTCTTCGTAAAATGTGCGCAAAAGCATTTTGTGCTTGAAAATTCCGTTTTATGTCGGAGCTATGAAATGAATGGAAACAGTTGGGTGCCGACTCGACTTACTTTCGATAAAGCTAAAAATATGCCGGCCGGGATCCGTGGGAGGGCGGCACTGCAATGCCGCCCCCGCCAGGATTTCCCACATCATTTCTAGAGAGCTTCCTTAGTTCTCTCAAATACCGGATAAAGCGGAGTTCTCGTCAGGATGCCTTACCACAGACCCTCGTTTTGGCATTACAGGGAAGGACAGCAAAAGAAAAAAGTAAGTTGTGCGCTGTTCCTGGTCCAAAGCTGTTTTGCTGCTGCCTTCACAGAGTGGAAATTCCTTATTGCTTGATGATGCTTTCAGCTCACGCGATTTCTTGCCGCTGATTGCTCAATTTTGAAATATCTGGGCGAGCAATCAGCCTAAGAGCTCAGATGATTCTCAACTTTTTCGGCACATAAAATATCAAAGATTATTTGCATTTCGCCAGCTGGCGCTTCCAATAAATATACGAACAGGCTGGTGGAAGAGTGTGTGGAATTGCGCCTGCTTGCTATTAATTTGGATAAGAACGCCTTGAGCTAAATTTTAGAATTATTTTCGTACATTCAGTATATCAAATGTTGACCCACTTGTGCCTTAAAAACGTATTCGGAACTCCTGCCTATTTGTTGAAGAAGAAGGGACTGATTGGCAACAAAAACGGAATAAGCTTGGTGAAGAATGCGTAAAGGAAGACAATCTGGTATAAAATTGTGCCTGATGTAAAACGTTCTCAGAGCGTCCAAACCACAATTAATATACAGGGTGTTCTGATCAATTTTCCCGACTCCAGTTTTTGGAAAATATCGATTCTAGATAAGAATGTAAGACCAGTGCGAAACCTGCTCAGACTCAGACAGAAAGTGGTATGAACATGAAGCACCATTTGCAAAAGGTCTTGCGAGAATATACAGGGTGATTTGCGTAGACCGTGCGTTGTAACAAAAAATTTCAAACAGGACCAAAAAAGTTTGTAGGTGCAATTTAAAAAAAACTGATTTTTTCACTCCTTTTTATCATTGTTTGTAGGCTTCATGCACCCATATGCTATAAAAGCGGTACTACAAAAACTATAAGAGGGTTGGAGGTTAACAAAACTAGTGTCTCAAACTCGCAATTGAAGGCCAATCCAACCATGCTAAAAAATCAGGAGGTCCAAATGAATTTTTTACTACTGTTTTGCATGGCGCACATGCAAGAGAAAACTTGAATTTGTTCAGATCGGCACAACCACAAGTTGCTTTAGACAACACCCTGTATGTGCCATGATACTCGTAAAGTCGCACAGTTTGAAGGAATGAATGTCTATTAGAAACAACGGGCGAGTGCATCGAACACGTAGCTAATGTGAATGCTATTTATGCACCAATATGTTCAGGAGGGGAGGTGCATTTCGGGTCCAACAATCGAAGCCAAATCAATTTTCCGCCCAAGTGCAGTAACTCTGATCGATTAGCCAGTAACACGATCCATCGCAAGAAAGTTCTTCTGAGCGGACTCATAAAGTGCGCAAGGTCGTCTCGGTCGGGACTGATGGTTATTTTTAAATTTTCCGCAAACCATAATACGGTGTTTACTTGGTAAACAATTTAATATTCAGTTGAAAAAGTGACTTTCGTGAAACCCGTCCAAAATTTACTGATGGGAAAGTTTCATGAGTTTCTAGTCGATTTGCGGCGAAGCTCACCGAATCACTCCTGGGGATTCAGTTTGGTCGGTGGATCGGATGTTAAAACACCCTTAATCGTTACCAGAGTGAGTAAAATACCAACACAAAAAATTGCGTTCAGTCCCGAATCGGAAAAGGTTAAGGTTCTTCAGGACATACCGATGTTTTGTTCCATTTTTGCCTCAAAATAGGGTTCCTACTCTCAACTAAGTTCAATGCTGTGGTTCAGGCTTCAAACAGCTATGGTTTGCTTTTTAATAACATTTTTTCAAGTTGCTGCGGCAAATGTTAACTTTTTTGTCATTTTATTAAACTACAGTTTCTTGAGCTTCGGCAGACGTTGAAAATCTTCAAAACATTCATTCTTGTTGCCCCAGCGCGGCACAAAAACGACTTGCCAACTGTAAACTCCAGACAATTTTTGCTGATAACATGTTTTCCCCATCAGGCTCAAATAATAAAAAAAACTTGGCAGCAATCCAGGAATAATCGCAATCGCGCTATTTGCGCAATAAATTGATGGAACGCTATCAGTATCGGCAAAATCTACGCCAAAACAATGGAATAATTTGCGAAAAATCAGACAAATGCTTGAGACTAACGACTTAATTATTTACGAAAGTAAACAGCTCATGCTATGCTGGCCAGGAACGATGCCAAAAAAACCAACAGCGCAACTTTTTACAATCTGATGCAAAAGTTTCCTTGATTTATCAATAGTTGAAAGTTCAGATGAAAAGCACTCAGTTTGGACTGAACACAAGCAGTTATTTCCAGTTTCACCGCGCAAAGACCAAATGTTTGTTAAAATGAGCGTTTTTCAAAAAAAGTTATAAAATTAAGGGTTTGATGGAACAATTCTGGTATAAAGTATGAAAAACGGCGCTCATTTCAGGTAGCGTTTGGATCGCCAGCCCAAGGAGTCCTTCAGCGAGGCGACATAATCAGCAAAGTTGGAAACTACGATTCGAGAGACATCAGACACGAAGATGCCCAAAATCTCTTCCGAACTGCCGGCAACAACATACGGGTGGTGGTGCAAAGGTATGTATCAACTTACTTCCGACTACCCAAATAGTTGGTAAGCATTAATCAAAGTCCGCAACAAATTGGTCGAGAATCTCGTTGGATCGTGCTTAAGCAGCCTACCAATAAAACGTCGGTTTGGAATTCCGCCAGATTAAAAACGATGTTATTTCGGATTTCTTGAAATATTGAGCGCGTAATCGGGAATCGGGCCTCTCCTACGGACTTCAGTCCCGCTATTTTGTTTCATTTCAAACGTGCCATTCTTCCAGTTGGTTCTTCCGGTTGGGTTTTGAGTCGGAGCTCCGGGGCAACGCGGTTGTGTCGTGCCACCCTGTTTGCGCCATGCCTACTTACAGTCGATATTTGTAAGTCTTCCTTGTGTGGAGGTGGAAATTATAAATAACCGATTGTTTCTATCCGGGATTTTTTGGAAAATTGCAATGTACGTGGATAAAGTTTTATAGCCACTATGCGCCGCTGGCGCATATTTTATGTGCAAGTTTCTTTTATCGGTATTTTCTGAGTCGAAGTGAACAAGTGTCGATAGCGTTTTTAATGGAAAACCTGGGTTTTTAGAGAAACAGCCCCACGTCACAATGCCAGCACTGGATCTTCGAGAAACAGCTCCCACTACAGCCCCCTCTCGGTTTCCCCCAATCTGTCGCCAAGGGGCGCGCCCCTCAGCCCTTTAGGTAATCCCTAATGCAATATAGTCGCTCTTTTTGAACTGTTGTTTTGCTTCTTCAAGACTACAGTCCAGCAGGCTCCGCCCTCACTCCAGTCTACACAAATCCTTTGACTCCAATCGACAACAACTACTTTGAGGTATACGATGCCGACCCAAGAAGACGAGGTGGAGACTATCAGAATGGAGATATACATGTTTCGAGACAGGTAAGTGGTTCCATAAGAAAGTTTGGTTTGGACGCTTTCAACAGTGCCTTATCTATAAAGACTATGGGACAACAGTTTCATTAATCAGATATGCGAGCTTGGATGTGTTCCAGCTAGTGTCCCAGAACAAGGTCTGCTTATTTATAGATCCTTGCATTGATGTCTCCAACCGCCAAATTTTTTATGCGCGGTGTAATAGAAAAATCGGGTGGGTTACAACTGAATTTTAGCATGATAAAACGGGAAATTGCTGCCAATAAATTCATGAGCTTCGTGGCAACGATCAATTGCTTGAACATGGACACACAACAGAGATAGACTTTCGAGGCCAGTTCTTGAAACTAATGGGTTTTTCGGGATTTTAGGCCGTCGTTCGGTGGAATTTCTTCCTGAGGTTTCGCAAGCACGAGTGGCTTGCATCTTCAGAAGTGGTTTGCTTGAACGCTTACACTGTTCTCATCAGAACCCGCGTTCAGTTCTGCGGA